CGTCACGTGGCCTTAAGGGGCGGTACTGTTACTGACTTCTGTAAATAGGAACTAGTGCCGCGCTGCTGTCTGTACGAAGGTATCTGCGGACTTGTATTGTAATGAAACTATGAAGTGCTCTCTCGCTTTAATCCCCTTAACGCTGGCTGCGTGGTGTTATGCAGACTTTGCGCCACCGATCGTCAATATCAGTTTGGACGAGCCACCGAAAGAAAGATGGGCACCGTTGATGAAAGTAATTGACGTGAGATACTACAGAAAAATCGCGCCTCTGATTATTGAGTAAGTACACAAAGTCCATCAGAAAAACCTCCACAATTCTAAATTTGTTTGTACTGCCTGTGAAACAATGTTTTGAGGTGACTGAAAAGTTCCGTTAACATTTAAGAGGTCCCTGGTCTATTTGAGTTGTCAGAAGGGCCCCTACTATTTTATACGATGGTGTAACTGTGGAACCAGGGTGGAGGATCACCGACGATAATAAACCCCCGTTTCCAAAAAAGTTGGGAAGATAAGGAACTGCCTTTACTTTTACTTTCATTTATAGTGGGAAACCTTGATCCCAGTATATTTTTATTCCTGTTATAGCTCAATTGTGCCAAAATGGGTACATCAAGCCATCAAACCTGTGGTAGAAGCCTTGGAAGATTACATACCACAGCACTATGCAGGAGAAATCCAGGGACTGGCCTCCCTATCTGGAGTTGACGTCACTGACATCATCCTCCTGAACTTTGCCTATGAAATCACAGCGTATGTACTCAGTGCAGAACCACTGCATTTATTGCTGGACTCCAAACTATGTATTTAATGTTTTATGATGGAAGCTAGTATTGCTCTTTAGCAGACAGGTGACAGTTTTCAAGGTGTCTGCTCTAACCCACTCAACACAAAAACTGAACCTAAAATTACAACCTCTTCCATGCCTCAGGTTTTGCACGAGTATTGTCGCACAGGACACAAATGGCCGTATCTACCATGGGAGGAACATGGACTACCCATTTGTGGAGATTTTGAGAAATCTCACAGTTGATATTCTATTTATCAGAGATGGAAAGGTATGTGGTCCAGTGGCAGCTTCTAAGGGTGAATGTTTTTACTTTTGTTGCTGTTATTCTTTGGTTTACATTAGTGTTTTAGGTGTTGTTTAATGCTTTTGGGCAGCGGTGGCTTATCCACAAAGGGCCGGTGTGTATGCTGGTTTTCGCTGCAACTGCCTAATTAGATTACTAATTAGAGGACTGATTGGTTAAAGAGTCCTCACACCTGGGTTTGAACAGCTGACCTACAGGTTATCCCAAAAACCTGCATATACACCGGTCCTTTGCGGATTAGATTGGCCACCCTCTGTTTTAGGGATTAGAAAATGTGAGCAACAGATATGCCTTACAAAACAAAATCACTTATAAATGTGTTTCTTTAGGTGGCCTATAGAGGGACCTCCTTTGCCGGCTATGTTGGCCTGTGGACAGGACAAAGTGCAAATAATTTCACCATCTCTGGAGATGAACGCGGTACGTCTGGCCCTTGATGTAACATGGAGAGTCATGTGTCACATGTCATGTGTTTAGCAGTATAGTGGTTTGACAACTTTTTGTTCACAGATGTTGGGTTTTGGTGGGAGAATGTCATCTCAGCCTTCATACTGAAAAGCATACCAGCCAGCTGGCTCATGAGAGAGGTGGGTATTCATGCAGTTTATTTATTTGGTCATTTCTTTAGCAAGTGCTTTACAGCTGTTTGAAAAGAAAATAGAGCAACTGAAATTTTAGGAATTGAATAAAATAAGACCTCTGAGGGTTCAAGGTCGACTGGTTACCCAACCCCCAGGCATGCTAACATTGTGGAATATAACCAAAATGAATCTGCTTTTCATAAATGAAGGGTGTAAACTATACTCATAGTCAGAGTCACAGTGTGTTGTGTTTTAAGTTGTGGGTGAGCAAGACTAATGTAATAAATCCCATTCATGAACTGGCAAACCATTGCATAATATAGGGGCCCTGTGGATAAAGACTACTACCATCTGTTTATATGTGGGATAACAAACAGACTGTGGGGGGTGGGATGTTCCACAAAGCAAGATTTCTCAGCTGGGTTAACTTAAGCCTGAAGGGTTAATTTAAGCGATGACTTCTAGCTTAAATGAACCCAGCTAACCAAGAAATCTTGCTTTGTGGAACACTCCTCTGCATTCTGTGATCTGTGTGTATGATGTGGCTTATAAACATGTGTAGTGGAAAATTACAAAGAACGGGTATTATCTGAGTAGATGTGCAGAAGACATAGGAATACGCTTCACAGTCTAGTGAAGGGCAAGAACACTGAGCTGGGTTTGGCTAGTTTCAAAGGCTGAAAAGAGGAACCTGCTTTTCCTGTGGGTGTGGGAGAAACAGCTGCCCGAGCTTAAGCACTGTCACATAGACTGCACTTGCTTTGAGCTGTGAGGTCGCAGTGCCTTAGGTGTTTTCACTGCACCAAGTTGCCAAAAAAACTTTTTCTTCCTTGCTGTCTCCTGGATTGCCTCTTTGTCCTTTTTCCACCATACATGTATGGTAAGGCAGTTGACTGTGGCTGATGCTGCTGGCAGGCAGTTGCTTGTCCAGTGCCTTTTATGGAAGTACAAGTATCTAGTGTTACGAGCCCCAGTCTAGGGTTGGGGCATAACAGAGAGAAAGGGGAAGTGGAAAAAAGAGGAGAACAAAGGGTGGTGGACAAGAGAACACAAGTGGACAAAGTGGTATTTTTTAATATTTTTCTGTGTTTTTATTTACACGCCACGGACACAGAACAAATAAACCCGAGACTTGTACTACGAAGCAGGGTTACTGGCTTATCGGGGTAACTTGTCGGATTTAAGGTAGTCTGTGCAAAATGTAAGTAAACGAATATAAAGTCCATTTAAACTGTGGTATCTTAAATCCGACAAGTTACCCCGATAAGCCAGTAACCCCGATTCGTAGTACAGGCCACCGGGGCGTATTCCATGGAAGTAGCTAAAGAAAGGCAGACTTTACTGAAAAAGTCAGACTCAACCTAGCTCCATCTCTAAACTTAGCCTCATGTCGTTCCACGACTGCAGTTCAGTTTTAAATAATCAAGGCTCATTCAAGACAGACTTGCATAGTCTCAATTAGTGTGCACATCCACGATATTTAAAAAGCCCAAATAAATGGATGAACGATAGATCGACCAAATGAGTCGGAAATCTGTAAAATGAGAGCGGAGTTTCTTTCCGTCGCAGAACAAACGCTGCTGATGGAGCTGTATGAAAAATACAAAGATGTAATCGTTAAAAAAGGCAATACTGTGGCCATAGACACAGCCAGGGAGTTGGCTTGGCAATGAATTGCATAAAGTGCTTAGTACGGTGGGACAGTGGTTTATGTTGTTGCCTTATAATGCAAAAGTTGCTGGTTTGATCCCCAGAGCCAACAGGGAACCTTCTGGGTTGATTTCACCTGTCATTATTACTGTATAATATTATTTGATCTCCGTAAAATACTTTAAATCACATCCGTGTGAAATGTTCTGCACAAATAACCGTATCTTGTCTTTTCTATTTTAGTAATAAACTTTCAAAGTAGACAGTGACTAAACAAAATATAAAAATATCTTCCTGTTCATATTATTTTATATCATTTATTATTTTAACCAATTACAGTCATTGTATTTCATATGTTTCACCTTTGTAATATGCGTGCGCTTTTATTTTACAGTAAAATACCGTTATAACGGACTTCAAGGGACCTGGCAAAACAGTCCGTTACATCCAGAGTTGCTGTATGCCCAGGACACAACTACAGGATACCATTTATTCATGCCACACCTCAGCAGACACACTTGTGGTATAGATTAGTATATTGTACATGTAGTAATCCAAATTTACCTGACCAGATGCGTGACTATTAATAATCCCGACTACGTACGTATCTGCGCTGGATAGCACCGGCACACCACACGCCTTGTAGGCGGAGCCTGTATGTCCGTTATAGCCGAACAAAACTACAGCTAAAAGAGGCCCTGGGGACCAAATTGTTTGTCCATTATAAGCGAAATTCCGTTATATGTGAGTCCGCTATATCCGATGGTTTTTCTGCATGTTCTTAAAGGCGCACGTCCGTTATAGACGATATTCCGTTATAAGCGAGTCCATTATAACGGGATTTTACTGTAATTATTTTGGAATTAATTGTAATGCTAAGACGTAATTTTATAGGCTTTATTATATTGATTATGTAGCAATCTCAGCTCTGTTCTCCATATTATGGAAGTATCACGCAACAAACAACTCAAACAAAATCATGTCATTTTGGTACACCTTACAGATTAACAAAATACTTCAATCAGATAATGTCAAATATTATGTCAGATGAGGACACATAATCCAACAGATTACATGACATGAGTAGTAAGATCGCGGAATTTCGTCCGACGGAACGATCTTTTGGGAATCTGTTGCCACAAGTCGGACGTTCTTTGAGACAACGCTAAACTAAGCGAGACAGTTAGTCTGGTCCGTAGCAGACTTGTTCGTAGGTGTAAATTACCATGGTAACTCAGCGGGGATTCATTTAAGACACGTTGATTGAACGGAACTCTCACTTAAATAAGACAGACTTATCGAAATAAGTGAGGGCAAACGGACTCAGGAGTGACTACAGCCAAAACAATAAACAAAAACCCAGCTTCCGAACGCAACCCAAATCTAACTTATCCAAGTGCAAAGAAATCAAAACAAAACGACAAATTCTACACCTTACTCCCTATCCAAACAACAGCATACAACATAAGCTCACAAAACAAAAATGGCAGTCACTCCCTATGCACCTGACACACACAGAGATCAAAGCGGCAAAGTCCGAGGTGCGCGCGAAGACGTTAACCGAAAACCGAAACCAAAGCGAAAGTACAGACCAGTTCAAATAAAAAATCTAATAAACCAAAACACACAATAAAATCAATCAGAGAAAAGCAAACCAACAATAGCAAATAATGACCTGAGCTCCAGAGGTATCTTGCTTGCCGCTTTTCACTTAGGGGAACGGAAGTGGCGGATGGTGCACGTGACGAGTTGTGGGCGGGGTCTGGAGGGGGAGGCGGAGCGAAGGATGACTGGGGTGTATAATTGCTGTGGGCGGAGCTAACCTTACAGCGACAGGTAACGCTAGTCAGTCCTGTACCTGACAGAAAGCCAGTGCTCAGACCCAAGAACTGGGGATATATGTTCATATTTTCTGCTCCTAGTATCAGTTCTGCCTGCTGCATTTTGAATACTCTGTAAGTTAACATCATGTGTTGTTATTATGCAATTACTAATGGCAATTTATAGTGAGAATAAGAGGTCCAAACTAGGGGTGCACCGATTGCAGTTTTCTGGCCGATCAACGATCACCGATCCTTAGGCAACCTTACCTGCCGATCTCGATTTTTTTTTGCCGATCTTGTTTCTTTCATAACTAAAAGACAGTTACTTCAATGTTTCCATTTGTATTGAGTAAATTGATATGAATACTCACAAAACATGAGGTAGTGTCCTCAAATATAAATGAACATATAAATGAGCATTGCTGTTTGAACTACAAAATCATATTTTTTCTTCCAGACTTTAATTTCTCTAATTTTGTAAAAAAAAATATATATATGTAGCTGTTATGACACACTTGTCCAAAAAATAGGGAGGGAGGCAGCCTGCACTGCACCTCTCTCGGGAATGGGAGAAAAGGCTGATTTAACCCTCTGGGGCCTAGGGGTAGGAAACACACTTTCACTGACTGGGGCATGATCACACATTTCATCACACTTAATTCATGGCAAATAAATTATTTCTTATATATTTGTTTTGCCATTACACTCATCTTTATTTTAATATATATTGTAAATATGTCAGATTTTTGTTAAGTTTGAAATTTGACATCAAAGTATAGACATTGCAAAATGCAGTTTGGAACACTTGCAGAAACATTATAAAAGTACATAGTAAGCAATGCTGGCAGTTTGTTTTGATCCCAGATATCTGATCACCAAAGTCTTGGCTACATGAAGATGACTAAATGGTGTAGATGCAACATTAATTTGGATAAATAAATAAGAAAAACCTAACTCATGTAACTATTTCTGGCTCCTTTCATTGAATATGTAGCAACTTTCATGTGTATGAATGAGCCATTGTCACCTGGCCACGTCCCCAACCCCCTTTTATGGCGCTGAAGGGGATGTATCTGGATCGCGTTTCACCGTTGCGCTGTTAATCAAATTACCATGCGAATGCGATTTGAATACGCGCTAGTGCGGCTATTTAGAATGTGAATAGCGATCTTCGGGTGAGAGCGGTACTACACGCCCCCGATGCAGGTAAAACAAAGTAAGATGACATGGTTTACTTTTTTGCCGATTTAACCTAATTAAAAAAACTTTAATACTTCCGACAATGGACGTTTTGAAAAGAAGACAGATTACGGATTTAGCCAGCGTTTTTTTCATGATTATACATTAAGATTTCAGCGAGATATTTATAAACTGAAATAGACGCGAAAAGTACGCGATGTCGTCGACGACATACTCGACCCCAAAGAGTTAAAAGCATATAACTAAGATCGGTGGATCTCATGGGAATATGGTCGATTTCTGATCCCCTCAAATTAACGTGATCGAGGCCGATCGATCGGTGCGCCGATCGATCGGTGCACCCCTAGTCCAAACACTGATCCGAATTTGACCACTGACACTGAGTACTGTTATTCGTCCCTTGAACATGATACTGATTAGTTAATTAAGACTTAAACATATCAACACCATTCCACACAAGCCAATATCATATTCATGTTGCAATGTTGCTGCACGCCCGCCTTGAGCACCTGTAATTCCAGAGACTTCCGTTTCCACTCCGTCCTGTTCATGAGAATGTGTGTAATCATTAAATCATGCAGAATGTCTGGTGGGTTTAACTACTTTATTTTTCAAAGTAGCTGTGTCATCCAGATATCAACTAACTACTGTGTTAAAGTTGCTTTTGATTTTAACATTTGTACTAGAAATTAAGTTTGTATTACTTATCACATTAATAAGTGTTACCAAATTATTCCAATTTAGGTGCAGTATCGCAATAATCTTTTTCATCAGTCATAGATGGAGGCTCACTTGCAAAGGTGATTAGAAAATGGTCAGAGAAGGACAGATACATAATGAATATCAACTCTGTGGGTGATAATCAAGTCCATCGTATGACTTATTGTCTGTGTGGAGTTTGCACGCTCTCCCTGTGTTAGCGTGGGTTTTCACCGGGGGCTACAGGTTCCTCCCACAGTCCAAAAGTGTGCAGGATAGGTTGATTGGTAAGTCTAAACTGGCCCTGTTTTAGTGTGAGTGTGTGTGTGAGTGTGTGTGTGTGAGTGTGTGTACCCTGTGGTGTATTGGCGGCTGCCCAGGGTTGGTTCCGGCCTGCGCCCATTGTTCCTGGGTTAGGCTCCAGGCCCCCCCGCGACCACATTTGGGATTAAGCGGTTACAGAAAATGGATGGATGGATGACTGTGCACATGAATGGGTGCTGTTACATGCTGGTACTAACCAACAGATTCAAGCAGAGATAACAGAGTTTTGCCCTACAGTATATCCATATATATGTTAAAAACACTAAGTGTCCAACTCCGGTCCTGGAGAGTTACTATCCAGTAAGTTTTCTATCCTACCTGGCTTCTGATAAGCCACACCTGCTCCTGGTAATTATAGAATTATTGTGGCTCAACAGAAGCCAGGTAGGATAGAAAACCTACTGGTTAGTAGCTCTCCAGGACTGGAGTTGGAGACCCCTGCCTTATAGTTTCTAGTTCAATTTTAATTCACAGGTCTGATTCAGTGTCTAGCACCATATCCATATTAAGAAGTGATTCGATTCTAAGAGAGTGAACATTCAACAATGAGCTTTTTATGTTTGGTTTCTCTTGAATCTGATTTAACCTTAACAGTGGACGGAGATACCTTAATGAAAGCCCCATTTGCATGAATTGAAGTGACCGTTCACCTGTCATTGCTCTGAGGTAGAGGGTGACCAGTTATGATAAGGGCCTTCTCTGTGTCCCTGTCAGACCCTGGAAGAGGCAGCAAGCTACCAGGATGCCTTGGAGCGCTTGTCCAAGGTGCCCATCATCAGCACCGTCTACTACATCGTGGGCGGTGTGCAGCCAGGGGAGGGCGCAGTGGTGACCAGGGACCGCTCAGGAGCAGCAGACGTGTGGGTGCTTGATCCTCTCCATGGACAGTGAGTGCCCCCCCCCCCCTAAACACATAGCAGGCAGTCAAATGTGCCCATCCCTCACCCCCTGAATGACCGTTTCTGTAATAGTGACAATAAAGATCTATCTATCTTATAGCAGTTAAGGTTTCCTACCAGCATTTTGGATGTATCCGAAATTAACTTTGTTTTGGCTGGATCCTATTCCACATGGGTACAAATATACCTTCAAACTAAAAAATTATATAAACCAAATTATATACTGTACAAAATTCATAGGCAGTGGAAGAAAATGTTTAAGGCTATTTATCTTGGTAGTTAGCATGTGTTTGCGCAGGAAAAACACAGTTTAACATTAGAACATATGCAAATTGACACTAACACAATAAAATGAATCTCTTATGTTCTCCGAAAACCTACTGCATAGCTGGAAACTTGATGGATAGATAGATGAACACTCCTTTGGTTTCCAGACATCTTTTCAGTGGCACCTCAGCCATTCCATGTATTCCTTAAATTTCACCACCAGCTCAATTAATTAACTTAATTAGTAAAGTCAAGTCAAAAAACCCATGGGTGTATTGGACAGCTGCAAATGCTGGGGAGTTAGGATAGGTTTACATGGTGGAGCTGGCACACTGACAGACATGATGTCATACTTTTACACCAATCAGAAGGTAATTTAAACACTATTTTCATTGACTGCCTGAGACATTTATAGGAATATTCCCACATATTGGATCTCTCTCTTATTGGTTCCCTGTGCCTTTCAGTTTATGTTCTTTAGCACTGTATTCATTCTTTCTACATATGCTCCTTGGGTTACGTTCTGATAAATCGTAAGGCAAAAATATTGTAAAGCCAAAATGTATTTTAATACAGTATACCTAACCTAACAAACATCATAGCCTAGCCTACCTTAAACATGCTTAGAACATTTACATTTGCCTACAGTTAGGCAGAATCATTAACACAATACTTATTTTATAATTTAGTGTTGAACATCTCATGTAATGTATGGAATAATATACTGAAAGTGAAAAACAGAATGGAATTGGAATCATAAAGTCAGTAACAACGTAACACAGGCCATTGTAACCTGGGGAGCATCTGTATAGCCTCGGGAAATATACTTATTGCACTGCGTAGTCTCACTAAAAGAGTGACGTGATTTTTTTCTACTTCAGGTGGTTCAGGGTAGAGACCAACTATGATCACTGGAATCCTCCACCACATGGAGATGACCGTAGGTGAGGCCAAGTCTCAAAACACTCAGTCATGCTGTTATTTAAAACAGTCATCACTATTTTACCCTTTTTTCCCTCAGAACACCAACCATCAAGGCCTTAAATGCTACTGGTCAAGAGAACATTAATTTGGATTCACTTTTTAAGGTAGGTAGACTAATCCTTGTAAACACAAGCTGTACTGAGGATGCACGAGTCATGTCAAAACCAAAAAAATGTTAAACCTGTTTCACTTGATTGGGAAAAAATGCTTCAGTGCAGCAGCTAAGACTTAATGTTTTGACAGGTTTTGTCAGCAAGTCCAACATGCAATAGGTGAGCAGAAATATTTTTTCTCCTCTCTGTAAAATATCCCTGTATGTTACTATGGAGAGCAGCGCAGTCTGTCATATGCTGCGACAGTGCAGCTTTGAAACGTTGCCTGAAAGTCACAGAGAATAGTGCAGCGTGTCGCTCTGTATTGTTTGTGACTGTGAACAAGTTTTTTTTCTAGGATAACGATTTACACAACAGTGATGAGCGCTGGCACTCCAGAGAAATATCGTACCGTAATGAGAGAGGTAAGGAAGGCTGGATATGCGGCTTTTTTCAGAATGAACTCCAAAGTGCCTCGGATATATTCTGTCTTCTTAAGTCCAGGCTTTTGGCTTTCAGCTTTAGTAGTTAATTTAGATAAAGCAACAATACTTAAAACAACGTTCTTTGTGTATTTTGGGAGGTAACTGACAAACGGGGTAGGATTAGTCTAGGTATTGTTTACTTTAATATTAGGATCAACAACAAATATAAATAATACTTCCATCAATTTTTGCAATGGGACATTAAACTAAGTACACTTTTTAATTTCACAAATCAAAAATTCACACTGTAAAACAATTATAATATTATATGATCAACTAATGTTTCCTTTTCCATTTTTAGAAATGCAACTTGGAGTGAATAGCTGGCCCAGAAGCATAAATA